GAAAACTCACTTTCAAGCAATAGAGAGAGAGAGAGAGAGAGAGAGACAGAGAGAGAGTTCTAAAGAGAGAGTGAAATTTTGCTTCTAAATTTTCAAAACCCTGAAATAGGGGGAGGGACCTCTCCTTATATAGAATAAGCAAGCAAAAAGCTTGCTTCATCCCTTCATACACGTGTATGGAGGATGAGCCTCAGTGCTCAGCAGTTGGCTCAAAAGATCTGAAAATATCTAAAAAAGGAGAAAATTGGTCGTTGGCCACTTCAGGTGGCCGGCCGGCCACCTTCCCTAGCCGACTGGCCACTCCAAGTGGCCTACAAGGGAGAAAAGTGGCCGACAAGGCCTTCCCCCCCCCCCCCCAGCCGATCGGCCACTTCAAGTGGCTGCCAAGGAAGAAAAGTGGCCGGCAAGTGCCAAAAGTGGCCGACAAGGCCTTTCCCCCCCCCCCTCCAGGCAAGAGGCATCAAGGTTTGGCCCTAAAACAAGGCTAAAACACAGAGAGTTTAGAGGCTCAAAGACAAGGCACTTAGCCGAGACCTTCCGGCACTCAAAATAAGCACAAACAAGCACAATCATCGCGCGCACAAACGATGACGTCTGAGTCTTAAGTTTGGCCAAAAATGGGGTGTCTACAGCACGTCATGGTGCGCAAGACCCTCTTAGGTGCACTGGTAGAGAGATGATGGGATACCACCAACTCTTTCCATTTCTCTACCACTGGGGATATGACAATGACCCCATATGATTTCGCCATGTTGATGGGCCTTGAGGTGGGAGGCTGGCCGATCCCATACGACTTCGATATGGGTGAGTGGGTCCGATCAGGGATGGTTCGATACACCTGGTTTGCGGACCACTTCAGAGGGACAGACCCAGCGACTAGAGAAGGGACTGAGCAGTATGCCCGAGGTTTCCTGATGTTCCTCTTTGGCACTACCTTGTTTGCCGGCAGGGCGAACACAATCGGGCTGTATCTTTTGAGTGCCTTAGTGGACCTATCTCAGGTTTGGCATTATGATTGGGGCGGCGCCAGCCTCCCTACCCTATAATACTACATGAGCTCGACCTCCCGCGGGAGAGGGAACAGAGTTGGCTGCTATTGGAGAACCTGGGAGGTATGCGTTACTTTTCTACTTTACATTTTCTGCTATGCTTTCTGCTTTGCACTTTTTTTACACTGCACATTGTACACACAAAGTCTAATCTCTGCTCTGCACTTGTACTTTCTATACATTGTACTACACACTTTGATTTCTGCATTTTCAGTGTTCTGTATTCTTTGCATTCTGCATTTTCTGGACATTGCGCACGTACTATGTTTTCCACATTATCTGTGCTTATCTGTATTCTCACTATCGCCCTCTTTCTTTTCACAACTATGGGTATACGCTTATTTCCCGATGCTTGCTCCTGAGCCAGAGGTCGAGACGCCTATTGAGGTGCCACACTCGCACCGATACGACGGTCGGTGCCAGTTGAGGGCTCGGGAGACCCTCTCATTCCTTCGCTGGTATTTCAACACAGTGAGGGTGGTAGAGGTAATTCAAAACCCACAGTTCTTTCTGCTTTTAGCTTCAATTCATTTTACATATCTAATGGCAATTTAACAATCTATGCACTTGTTGTCTGTAGATCACATGGCAGCCCTGGGTGACAATGCAAAAGGGTGCCAAATTTTAGTTTGGGAGAGCTTGGGGCGCTTCCCAATATCGGCTCCTACTTGGGTGTCACGACCCGAACCCGCCCCTATGGGTTAAGGACACGACCGGCCAGTAATCCTGTGATTACCTATGGCCTCAGACCGAAATAAGATGACTTGTCAGAGTAAAGGGGCCAAACGGAAGCAAAAATTAAAACTTTGTCCATAGAGCCGTGCTTATATGCACATCAACAAACCATACTCAGATACGTTAATAACCCACATCAAAAGTACAGTTTCACAAAATTCATTACAGACAAGATCATCCAAAACGAGTCAACCTATGACAAACTATATACAGATATACATAAAGTCCTTGCCGACAAGACCAAATATAAAATACATGGCAAAGAGGCAAGGATAGGTCTCAAGAGTGAGACGCAAGGCTTACTTCCCCAAAACTTGGATTCTTCCTAGCAGACTTCACTGGGGCTGGGTTTGAACTTCCCTTGGCTCACCTACAAACACATGAATGAGCGTGAGTGATAGCCCAGTGAATAATATTAAATACAAAAGTCATATAAACAATATGTACATTTATACAAAGTTCAGATCAAGTGACTGTAGTTCTAAACATATTGGCCTTTGGCCCATTCTGATTTACATCTACGTCAAAATGGCCGTCGGCCCACTCATTCATGTCAAAACGGCCTTCGGCCCATTCATTCATGTCAAAACGGCCTTTGGCCCATTCATCTGTGTTAAAACGGCCTTCGGCCCATTCAGTTATATCAAAACGGCCTTTGGCCCATTCATTTATATCAAGACGGCCTTTGGCCCATTCATTTATATCAAAATGGCCTTTGGCCCATTCATTTATATCAAGACGGCCTTTGGCACATTCATTTATATCAAAACGGCCTTTGGCCCATTCATTTATATCAAGACGGCCTTTGGCCCATTCATTTATATCAAGACGGCCTTTGGCCCATTCACTTATATCAAGACGGCCTTTGGCCCATTCATTTATATCAAAACGGCCTTTGGCCCATGCATTTATATCAAAACGGCCTTTGGCCCATTCATTTATATCAAGACGGCCTTTGGCCCATTCATTTATATCAAAACGGCCTTTGGCCATAATCCCAATTAGCAACTCATAAAGCTTATAAGGGAATACACAATTGGACATTGATAAGCTTTCAAGTATTGATATTACTCACAGTGATCGGCTTGTGGATTTGCCCTGGAACTTGACCCTACACATTTCATGAGCACAAAGGGTCACTAACAGTTCAATCCGTTCTTTAATTCACATATCTCTCTTTAGGCTTAATTCACATTTCATTTGCTCATTTACAATGCTTAACATATGCCTAAGAGTGCTTACAAGTGAAGGAGAACGGAAAACAGAACACAGAATGCATGAACGAAATTTCAGAAAACAGGGTCCCCGCTCGAGCGTCAACTTACCCGCCCGAGCGGACCCTTAAGGCCTGCAAAAGTACTGGTTGCATGAAAAATACGCTCAAGCGTTAAATAGGGCGCTCGAGCGGAAGTCCTGTTAAAACAGCTCCTACGCTCGAGCGTTAATTACCCCGCTCGAGCGGACATCAAGTCTGCAAAAAGTACTGGGAGCCCGCATTTCCCGCTCGAGCGTCAGGTTCCCCGCTCGAGCGGACCTCAAAATTCTGGAAAACCCAGAACTGTGTTCCTGAGCTTCATTTCGACTTTCAACCAACAATTCATGCATGTTATGGCCCAAATTACACATTTACACATGCTAACATGCTACTAATACAAGATTACAACATCAGGAAGCTCAATTTCATGATTTATCTACATGCATGTCCCAAAATATCTCAAACCCATCACCAACATGCTCAAATTCAAACATTCAAGACTTATACCCCCATGTCTTGTACATGCATGCCCATTTTGACTTCACATTCATCCCAAATAATGCAATTAGTGCTCATTGCTATAACATTCAACAAAGACATGCTTGCATGTGGGATTACACTACCAATCTTTCACAATTACACAAATTACATGCTAGATTTTGTGATTCCATAGGAATTCTCTACATGCATGCACATATCAAGCCTCCATTTCAATAAAACCAGCTCAAATCATGCTATTGATCACCACAACTCTTGAACACACAAGATTACACATTAACTCATGGATTCAAGAATCAATGCTTACCTAGAGGCTCAATTCTTCCAATTTATGGTCAAGTCTAGAGTTGCCTTCAAGACTTCCAAGATTTAAGAGCAAAACTTTGATTTCCTCCCCTCTCTCTCTATAAACACCGAAACATGGAGCATTGCTACACAAGCTTAAGAGGCATTAAAGATGCATGCAAGGCAATCAAACAAGCATGGAAATGGGACTGAAATAATATATAAAGCAACCCCAAATCACCAAATCGATGCAAAGATGTCATGCTACACATGCACATACTCAAGGCCAACAAGCCCAAATACAAAGGAGCTATATGAAGCATGCCAAAATCAACCCAAACACTTATGGACAGACCTAAAACATGGCAAAATATGCACATAATCTTCACAAGACTAAGCCTAAAACATGCTCCAACAAAGGCTAACAACCTAAGGCATATTAAGGCATAAACAAGGCATTACATGGCAACTATGCTAAGCACGCATGGAGTACCAAAACCAACTTGAAATCATGTTATATTATGGATATATAGGCATGAAAAACAGCCCAAACATGCTCAACACACACTCAAGCATAATGCTCTCTCAAGAGGCCAAAACATGCCCTTTTCAAGGACAATAAGGAGAGGGGGTGGCCCTCTCCTTCTTTGGACTTCAAGGCATCATCTTGACCACTTGTATGCATCATAACTTTCATTTATCACTCAGATACTCAGACATTCATCCATTCACTAATCATTTCAAATTGCATTTGTAGCCCTCCACCGGATACGTCGAGGGATTACTCAAGATGTTGGCCTCATTCGAGGGCATGATCTTGAAGAGAGAGACGATGCTTAGCTCCCACGGTATTCAGGTAATTTTTCAGCTTTCTTGCATTTCGGTTATCATATTTCTGCTGATATACTGAAACTGACATCTTAACTGAACATTCTCCCACACTATAATGATACACTGCATGTATAGATCACATCCGACACATTGCATGCACATATTGTATCTGACTTTTGCATGTACTCACCCTGCACACCATACTTGCATCTGATACACATACTATGGCTAATATATTCAAATTGTCTTTTCAAGTCACACCTCTACAGATAGGACCCTTAGAGCCTTCTCCAGCAGTAGGGAGAGAGATTTCGGCAAGTGGCCAAGGGAGACGTCAGGAGCCTGTCATGTGTGATGACGATAATGAGACTAGCGAGGATGAGGAGCCAGCGAGTCCTCAGTCAGAGTCATCTGAGGGTGGAGACGACGACACCGGCTCGGGTTCTGAGGGTGGTGACGATGCGGAGGAGGGCTCCAAGGATGGAACCGGAGGCAGCTCTGGTTCAAGCTTCGGCTCAGATTCGGACAGTGGCGCCGATAGCGATAGCTCTGAGTTCACTCTACCGAGGAAGAGGACGAAGAGGGCCTCTCGATCCGGAGATGACTGGCGTCGATTCAGATGTTCTTACTTAGTTTTCTTTTTGCTAGAAGTGTTAGCACATTATACAGCCTTAGGCAGTTTAATTTTCTTTAAAACTTGTACTCTTTGTAAAAAGAAACCATGATTGGAATGAAAAAAACTTTCTGATTTAAAAATGTGTTGCATTTCACATTCTGAGCATCGCAATGCACCATTTTACACAAAAACGGGATTTGATGGAAATTGAATAGTGTTCATTGTCTTGACAATTGCATAGTCAGGTAGTGAACGAACCAAAATATAGCAAACAAAATAAGACAATTCAACGGACAATGCAACAACTCAACAAACAACAACTCGATAAATGAAACAATTATAACTCAAAAAGAAACACCAAAACAACTCGATAAACAAATTGCAACAACTCGATAGACAAATTGAAACAAACTTGAGAATGACTCAACAAAACCACAGCAGAATGCATCCAGAGTAGAACAAAACATAGGTTTTTAGCATTCTCGACATACAAAGAGACCAAGGCAATTCTGCTGGAGCCAAACAGTGGCTATTGGCCACTTGGTGGTGATTGTCGGCGACTAAAGTGGAGGTTCGGCCACAAAAGGTGGCCGGTCGACTACCTTAGCTGGCCGGTCGGCCAATGATGCAGGGAATCTCTAGATTGCTGCCAACTGTCTTCCACTCAGTGCCTTATCTTCTACAAAAGTTAGGACTTCATAGTTTCTTCATTCCAGCTCTATTTTTGCCACAAATGGAGCCATTCTTCACCGAAAAACTCTCCGATTGGATTACAAATTTAGATGGCTCAGAACAGCTAAATTTTCGGGGTTTTAGGATAAATGCACTATTCTCGCTAAGTCGTACTCCACTGTGTTTTCCATTCTTTCACATTGCGGCTAGATGTTGGAACCCGGTTGCGCATGTGTAGACGCGCCCGAGGGGGCCTTATGCTACAGTTCAAACTCATTTGTCACGGTTCTTAATCTGATCTCACAATATGCGATGTGAGATTGATAAATCACCAAAGAGTCCAAATCTGGCAAATCGTTTTGGAAAACTGATTTTTAAGAAAGAAGTGCGAAACATGGACTGCTTTGCCATATACAGAGTCGCTAGCTAAATATTTTATTTTGGGGGAATTTAGGAAACCCTAACTCGTGCCTAAGGCCACGTGTCCGTCATCACCAAAGTTGCCTCAGCTCGGGAACTTGGGTATGATTGGGGAAGGTCATCTATGAGCACCCCCGCTCACTCGATCAAAGATCGGCCTGTACTAAGCATGATATCCAGTTTTTGAAAACACATGCATTCTTATTCCGGTCAATTGGCTAATCTTTACTACGTGATGCGCACAACAAAACAAGTATAGACTAGATCGCCTAACTTGGAACAAAGTATCGCATATCCGTTTGTTTGGAAATGGTTTTGAATTTTGCTACTCACAAGTAGGCTAAAATACAGATTTCGATGAATTATTCCAATTCAAGCAATCCAACCTTCACCCACAGGCATTCAGGCAGTTATATCACACAAGCAATTAGCCTCATGGCAAGCATGCTTTCATGTTAACATTCACATACATGCAAGATGTTAAGACATAAACACTCATAGTGTACTCCAAGCCAAAACAAAGAACTAGTTAGCAATCAATGCATGATCCTAATTCATGTTAAGATGGCTAATGCAACACATGAAAAATGTAGCTAGAATAGGCTCGGCTAATCTAAGATGGCTTGTGAGATGCAATTTAGTACATGTATTCAAGTTGGAATTGAAATACGATGCAGTTAGCATGATGCGTCGAGCCCGGTGTATGCAAGACAGATGAATGATGCAAACATGCATAGCATAAGGATGCTAATTGAAAATGACCCTAAACTAACCATTAAAAGCAGGTAAGTAAAAGGGAGAAAGACGTGGGGTTGGAAGACATTCACACACTCACGCACACTTATTACAAAATTCGCCGTCTCGACGAAGGGTCCGAATAAATAATACAAACCAACTAATTAATCGACTACCCTAGCTATATTATTACAAAACTCTTAACTAATAAAACCAATTAATTAAACTATGGAAACAGTAAAACTGCCTCGGGGAGAGAAACAAATGCATGCTCGGTTGGCTTTGTTGGGAAATCCATTGCCACGTCACATGTTGCCTCTGTCTGCACTGCTCTGTACCTCTGAAGAGTACACAAGTCTCTATGATGCTCCAGGATCACTTCCTGTACACTGTGAGAGGTCACCGGCCGAAATTAAATGCCACCGGCCAAAAGGAACTGGTCATCGACTATTTGTGGGTATCTCGGCCAACAATGCATAGCCGGCCAGCACTGAAGATGGCCGACCGACCATCTCTTCCTGCAGAATCCTATTTCTGCTGCAGCTGAGGACAGACAGAGCATGACAATGCATTTTCAAGGAAATGTATGCACAACCACCCTCCTTATCATGTTTAAAGCTCAAAGGAGTATGGTTTTCAGCTCTTGGGCCACCAATTATGCATTTCAATGCATGATGGTCAAAGGAGTCAAGTATGCATTTAATGTCAGAAGAAATGTTCATAAAAACACATAAAAGACCCCAACCTCTATCATGGTTGATCAAGAGGCAAGGGATGCAAACATGCAAGCAAAACTAATGCAACATGAGCATGTTAATGACAATGCCATACAAGAATAATGGTAACAAGCATGCCAAATGCAATGCGACCTAAACAAGCATGCAAACATACAAGGCATGTGACAACATTCAAGCATGTAATAACATGTGAGGCAAACATGTAACAACATGTTAAGCAAGTTAACAAGAGATGCATGCCAAATGCAATATCACTTAAACATGCAACAACATATTCATAGGCCAAGTATGTAACAACATGCAAGGCAAGCACGCAAAGGATAGACTTAAACCAATATGGACAACTCTCAAATAGGTCCAAATCAGTGGCCAAAGTGCAATGGAAATGAGGACAAATGCACATACAAACATACATGCCAATTGGCCTAAAGACTAAGGCATAAAAGGCAACTTTCAAAAACACTTAAAAGGAATGAAAAGCATGCAAATGTGACAACATTACATGCTCTGAAATAATGCTAGGAGTGATGCCAAATCACATAAACAAATCATGATCATAGCATGCACAAGGCTTAAAGCCTAAGATTAGTGAGGGGACTTGAACCAAAGCTACACAAGACAAAGAGCATATGGCAAGCATAACCTAAAACAGTCCTAAGGCATACCAAAGTGAGCCTAAAACATGCAATGACCAAAGCCAAAACAAGCTAAAACAAGGGGCAACAACATGAGACATGGAAGGCTACCAAAGAGGTGTTACACTACACCTAAGAAAACCAAACATGGCATGATTCAAGCGACTAAAATCAGAGAAATGACAAGCTAAAATGGGCCCAAAAACCCATTCCAAATGCCTAGGCAAGGTGGCATACACAATGATACGCTCATGAGGCATAACACACAAACTATCCAAAGCATGGAATAGGTGATAAATACAAGTATTTGAGCATACTATATGGACTGAAATAACATAACAAGTGATGCCAAACCACTAAAATGGCCCAAGTAAAGCATGTCAAAGGATTCAATACTCAAAGCCTACAAGCTAGATTACATGGTGGCTATACAAAGCAAGTCATGGATGACCAAAACAACCAAAATCAGAGCTTTAGCATGTTAAAACAAAGCTAGAAGCTTCATGAAATTGAGCCAAAATCATGCTAAAAAGGCATGTTACAACATGGTGCATGTTAAGGCAAATCATGGGATTACAAGACGAGTATACAAAGCATGCATGGTATGTCTAAACCAACTTGAAACAGAGATGTATTAGGGAAAAAAAAGCCTAATACACACTAAAATAAAGTTAAAACAAGCTAAGCATGCAAGCCACCAACACAAGCCATTTATGCAAGCATTCAGGACAACAAGGAGAGGGGATGGCCCTCTCCTATTTGAGACCTTAAAACACCATCCACACCACTGAAATCCCTCTAGATTTCAGTGGTGAGATGGCCTAAACAAGGTGATCTCAAAGCTTAAAAATAAAGCACAAGAGCAAGGCCAAGCAAGGCCTAAGAGAGGGGGAACAACCCCAAACACAAAAATAAACTTAAACAAAGGTATTAAGCACTAAAAATCAAAACTTTTATCAGTTATAAACTAAGCTTAAAAAATAAACAAGATAGGCTAAAAGCTTAAGCAAGAAAGGGGTATCTAAAGCAAGGAACTCACCCTAGTAGAACCTCTTCAAGAACAAAGCTCCAGCAGGTTTTCTGAGTTCAAACCAACCCAAGAACACTGAAATCAACCTCCTAGCACCTCAGGAACCAAGGATGGTGTTCTAGTGTGTGTTTGTGTACAACAGTAAGACAATACTACACTTTTGAAGCACAAAAATAGAGAAACAAGGCGAGATAGATACAAGGCTATATCTATCTTTTCTAAGACAAATTTCTGAACCACTGAGGAGGGAGGAGGAACTCTCTCTTTATAGAAGTTCAATCCAAAGCTTCTAAGAGAAGCTAAGCAAAGGGGGTAAATCCCTCCATACACGTGTATGGTGGGGGACAATTGTGGATGCCAGCTACGCCAGTTGGCACAAAATATCTGCATAAAGCAGATGAACAGGGTTCGGCCAGCAAAAATGGCCGATCGACCAAAACAATGGCCGGCCGACCTAAAAAAGTGCCGATCGGCTAATACATTTGGTCGGTGGCGAGTAAAACAAGACTGATGGCCTCAGGCCATGGCCGGTGGGTTAAAGGGGATGCCTAACAGGCCACTTCCTACCCTTAGGTGCAAAAACCACAAGTCCTTGGTCCATAACCAAGCACAAAACAATCAAGTCGAGAGATTCTAAGGCAAGGCGCGCAGCCGAGACTTCCGAGAACTCAAAACGAACACGAATATGGATGATCATCGAGTGTTCAAACGATGACATCGGTCGGCCGACCTAAAAAAGTGCCGATCGGCCAATACATTTGGTCGGTGGCAAGTAA